AAAAAACCTCCTTGAGAATGCGAATAAAATTACAGAAATTGCTCGGACTTACTAGAGCGGAGCTAGAGTATTAGGTATAAGGTGTGGTACTCGTATTGGTCCCGACTAATCCGGATTCATGTTGTGTAAAGCCTAATAAACATGAAGCGCTTCCTATTAAAAAAAATTTCATTCACAGGGCTCGACTCAAACTGTATATATCCTAAAGCACTCTAGTAGTGATTTTTCCTCTGTTTTCCATTTTTGTGTGTGCTTTATTGTTTACTTTATTTGTCCAAAAATGAATGATACTAATATATCGGGATATTTATACAGAAAGCAACAGATGCAAAGCATAATTAGTGTATTATTTTCGACTCAAACTTTATATACGTTGGTGAATTTTTATTTAAACATGTATTTATACTAAATCTGGATGCATTATCACAAACAAGTGGTAATTGCAATAAACTATTTCTTAACCGTTGACTTAACATTTTGAATTAGTCTTTGAGGGAGTCGAATTGTTCTTTATTTGACTATGCTTTTTCTAAAATTTTCTTGAAAATACTTGTAACTATAAAATTTATAATACTTTGATATATCTTTGTACTTGGAACATATCATTCCCGGGGTACCACCAAAGGATGTGGTGCAGTGGACGTAACTGCTCTTCTCTTGATCAGAGGTTTCAAGTTCAAGCCCTGGGTATGAAAAAATCTTGGTAGGGAGCGCTTCCCCTCGAATGAGGCCTTACGCGATGCAAATCCGGATATAATCGGATTTCAATATAAGTACCAAACACCGGGTGGGAAATCAAAAATATATAAATATATATCATTCTTGAGGTGATAAACAGTAATATAGAAAAGTTTGGTCATATCTTATGTAATAACATAGGCGCTCCCACCAGTATTTTTTTTACCAAACGATTTGCCACACCCAAATGTACAGACAAACATATACGCACGTACTCATTCACGGACGCTGGGGCGGAGCAAAGAGTGTCGAGAGCGGGTTCGGTCTAACTCAATAGTTTTGGTTCGCACTCTTTGTTTGTATTAAAAAAATTATTTTATGTAAATATATAAATTATATATTAATTTAGAATTATTAGTTTAAAACAGTTAGAATTCCGAATCCAAAAATTTAAAATCCTGTCTCCGCCTCTCACTCCCTTCATCTTCTACTCTCCTATCTATTTTCTTCCATTTTTTAAACTTCTTTTCTTTTTTTGCATCTTATTTACTTCTTGTGTTTCCACTGACATTATTTTCTTATTAGTTTATTTAAGAAAAAACTGATAAATTTATATATTTGAAAACATCTACTCCTTAATCCTATTTTATGTGATATAATTCTGAATCCTTAATCCTATTTTATGTGATATAGTTCTGAATATTAAGTCAAAATATCTAATTTTCGGAGTGATTTGAACTTAAAATGTTCAATTATTTTAAAATAAATATTACATATTTAAAAACTACATTAAAGGTATTATAAGTCACAGATATTAACAATTTAAAATATTAAACAAATATAAAAATCACGATTAAAAAAAACTCCTTTTGACTCAATTGTATCACATAAAGTGGTATAGAGAGCATATTTAATATTACAAATTTTTAAAAAGGTATAATACAAACTTGGTCGGTTGACCGGAAGTAATTTTATTTGCTAGCCAAAAAGTATATAAAATATGTATATATATGTGTATAACACACACATATATTCAAAAAATATATAACTTTATCGATTATTATTTTTGAGAGTAGTTAAAAATATATATTTCGTATTTTAAAAGTCTTATAATCTATATCTATCTTCTATATTACATTAAAAGCACAAATACCCTTAGTGAAATATCGTTCGTCTTTTTTATCCTTTAAAAATAAAGTTCACACTAGGCAAAATAGTTTATTAATTATTATTCTATTATTACTAGAAATATTCATTTAATTAATTTCTTCACGTTGGATTAAAAAACATATATATAAAAATAATAATAATAATAATAGAAGCAGTTATTTTCTACCTTAAATTTTTTTGACAATAATTTTATTTCTTTCTAGAAATAAAAAAACAGTAATCATCCAATTAAATGCTCCGTAAGATAACTAAACCAAATAATATAGAATTTTATATTAGATACTCGAACAAATAAAATTTATTTTTAAGGCCATCAAAAATATAGTATTGTTGCATGATATTAGAGTACAAGTCAACGTATTATTCCATTTTGTCTGAGCTACTAACCTAATTGCACAACTCATATATCAAATTTATGATAAAGCATTAGAATACTTTTGTGTGATATAAATTTTTTCTTTATTAAGTTGACTAATAGCATCAATATATATTATTTTCAAGAGCTTGGGAAATTATTTAATGATTTTATTTTATAACTCTATCATATAGTTTAATAATATTCGTTTTACAATGTATTGTATTGTATGGTACTGTATCGTTTGATGAATACAATGTTTGGATAGATTGTATCGTTTGTTGTTGTTTCATGATATCTTGCACCGGCAATAAGAAGAGTAAACTTGTAATATTATAAAGAAAAATTATGATACGGGGTAAATTTATTATATAAAAAGGTAGGGTAAATAATAAAATAAAATTATTTAATAACAATAAAGGATGAGACGAGAGAAGCAACCACACCAAATCAGTTGTTACATAAAATGGCACATTCCGTTGTTTCGTAATAACGAATTTAATGATACGATACAAAAAAACTGAAGTAACAACCCAAAACAAACATCACATTTAAAATAACAATACGACACAATAAAATAAGTAACAACCATCCAAACAAGCTGTAAAACTAGTTACATTAATGTTATGACATATTCATTTAAATTTTGAGAAGATAAATTATGGAGTATCACATTAATTGAAAAGGGAGGAGTATTCAAGAAATTTTCATTCCCTTTCAATATTTATAATTTAATAAAAAAAGTGGAATAACCAAAGAGAAGAGAGGGACATTTGGGGGGAGAGAGAGAGGTAGAGGATGAGCACTCACATCCTCTGTTTTCACCTTATTCCTATATTATTATTAATATAATTAATAATTAATTAACTATATAGACCTCTTTGTTAGATCTCTGTTTATTGTTTCTAACCCATTTCCCAATTTTGATTTGTGTCTTGAAAATGGTCAGTCTTTTACAAATTGACCTCTTAACTTCCTTTTGCTTCATACATACGCTTTTCTTTTCTTTTTTTGGTTTTTTTTTTCCAGCTTCTGATCTATTTAAATTTTGAATTTTTTTTCAGACACATTGGATTGTTATTTGATTGATGGTAAGAGGATCCATGTTTTTGGATTGAATTCAACACTTTCTCACTTTGCTGTCTCTGATCAGTATTCCCACCTTGTAGTCTGCCTGATTTGCTACATAAGGTCTGTTTTTTAATTTGTTAATTCCTTTTTTAAAAATTCACATTTGGATCTTTCATGTTTGTTTTTTATGTGGGATCTTCTGAATTTTCAATATTTTGTTGTAATCACCTGGTTTGCGTTAGTTCAATTCAGATGCAGGCAATTTTGGTTGTATAAAAGTTGTAGTGATTCTTTAGAATCCAGTTTTGATTAGTTATTGCATTATGTTGTGCAAGACTTGATTTTTTTATGTGGGGTCTTCTGAATTTTGGATTATTTTCGGCCGAGGGTCTATCGGAAGCCGCCTCTCTGCCTCTCCAGGGTAGGGGTAAGATTGCGTACAAACCACCCTCCTCAGACCCCACTTGTTGGAATTTACTGGGTCTTTGTTGTTGTTGTTGTTGTATTTTTATACCAAGTTGATAATCATATGTCTGTACTAATTTGATTCAAATGCAGGCAATTTTACTAATACAAAGTTGTAGTGATGCTCGAGTATCCAGTTTTGATTAATTCTTGCATTATGTTGTGCAAGATTTGATTTTTGATGTGGGGTCTACTGAATTTCGAATATATTTTATACCAAGTTGATAATCATGTGTCTGTATTACTTTGATTCAGATGCTGGCAATTTTGCTAATACAAAGTTGTAGTGATTCTCTTGTATCCAGTTGTGATTAATTGTTGCATTATCTTGTGCAAGATTTGATTTTTTTATGTGGGTGTAAATTAATTTTTTGTTGGCGATTGAACTTATGATGGCAGAAAATAAAACTGATTTGTTGTGTAGCTGCAATAATTTTGCTAATATAAATTAATAATGATAGTCTAGTAGTATTAATGTTTGCATTATGTTGTGCAAGATTTGATTTTTATATGCGGGTGAAACTTAAATTTATGTTGGCGGTTGAACTTATGATTGCAGAATGATGGAGTCAGATCTCGGTAAGCTATTTATAGGTGGGATTTCTTGGGATACGGATGAGGATCGTCTTAAAGAATATTTCGGGTCATATGGAGAAGTGGTGGAAGCTGTGATCATGAGAGATCGTAATACTGGCCGTGCTCGTGGTTTTGGTTTTGTAGTCTTTTCTGATCCTGCTGTTGCTGAAAGAGTGGTTAAGGAGAAGCACATGATCGACGGGCGAACGGTAATTCTTCTTTTGTCATCTCTAGTTCTTTCTAATAGCCCATTAGGCCAAGCCGCAAAAATCAGCTTATTTTGAGAAGTGATTTTTTTCAAAACTGCTTTTCTCAAAAGTACTTTTGGTGAGAAGCAGTTTGTGTTTGGCTAATTAGTTTGAAAAACACTTCTGAGCAGCAATTAGTGTTTGGCCAAGCTTTAAAAAACTGATTCTAAGTGTATTTTTCTCAAAAGTGCTTCTCAAAAAAGTGCTTTTGGAGAGAAGCTACTTTTTTCTGTTTCTCCCAAACTGTTTCTGCTTCTCCTCAAAAACACTTTTTTTCCTTCCAAAAGCTTGGCCAAAACACCTCAATTTTTGGCCAAAACTGCTTTTGGCAAAAAAAAGAGCACTTTTGGTCAAAAAAAAGTTTGGCCAAACAGGCTATAAATCTTCTAGACGAATTTAAATGGAAAAATGTAGTCAGTGAGGATTCATATAGCAGACACCTACTTGTTTGGAATTGAGGTATAGTAGTCTTTATTATTGTTGTCATCTTTGTTGTTGTTGTTGTTTATCTTAGATATTGGAGTGAAATGGATATAGAGGATTCATAAATCGAGTCCTACTAGTTTGAGATCGAGGCGTAATAGTTGTCAATTTGTAGTATTTCATTTGAGTGATTAGGGTGGTATACATAACTCTACAAGTTTAATAATCAGTGTTTACTTAGTTGTCAACTGGCGCGGGAAGCTGTAATGCGAGGTTGTTTCATGCTGAACAATTGATTGTACTTTTGTGGCAGCTAATTGATAGAGACCTCTCTTGTTCACATAAAACTTATTTACTCTTCAAACTAAGATGGATCCAGGAGTTAAGCTCTATGGGTTCAATTTTTAAGGTTCTCAGCATTGAACTCATTATATGTTTAAAGTTATCGGTTCACATCTACTATTTATTGCAGTTTTAATAAATTTTTACATATAAATTTATGCAATGCGTCGAAAGTACTGGGTTTAGATAAACGCGGAACCTAAAAGCTCTATCCGCCCCTGACTTCAAAGACTAAACTAGAGAGCTCTTTATCAAATGGAGAATCATCTCAATATCTGCAAATGAGAAATTGCTTTCAATTTTCAGGTTGAGGCAAAGAAGGCTGTTCCTAGGGATGATCAACAAATAATAATAAATAGAAACAATAGCAGCATTCAAGGATCTCCAGGTCCTGGACGCACAAAAAAGATATTTGTAGGAGGCTTAGCATCTACGGTCACGGAGAGTGATTTTAAGACATATTTTGATCAGTTTGGTACAATTACAGACGTCGTAGTGATGTATGACCATAATACTCAGAGGCCAAGAGGGTTTGGATTTATAACTTATGATTCAGAGGATGCAGTTGATAGGACATTGTACAAGAATTTTCATGAACTAAATGGTAAAATGGTGGAAGTAAAGCGCGCTGTTCCAAAGGAGCTATCTCCGGGCCCCAGCCGCAGCCCTCTCCCCATGGGATTCAACTATGGACTCAATAGAGCCAACAACTTCCTCAACAACTATGCTACTCACGGGTATAATCTAACTTCAGTCGGAGGATACGGGGTCAGAATGGATGGCAGGTATAGTCCTGTTGCCGGTGGTCGTACTGGTTTCTCTCAGTTCGCTTCTCCTGGTTATGGAATGGGTGTCAATTTGGATCCCTCTTTGAGCCCCACCTTTGCAGGAGCTTCCAACTTTAGCAATAATCTTGGGTATGGGCGAATATTAAACCCGTATTTCACTGGAAATTCAAGCAGATACACTACTCCTATTGGATATAGCACAAGCAGCAATAGAGGGGAGTCTTTTCTAAGCTCCCCAACGAGGAATTTATGGGGAAATATTGGCCTTAACTCTTCAGCAAATTCTGGTGGCCCGGGTTCATATGTGGGCTCCGCAAGTGGTAATTACGCTGTCTTTGGGAATAACAGTGGTAACTGGGGCGCTTCTCTCATTTCTGCTCCGGGTGGTAATTCTTCCGGATACGGTGGTGGGAATTTCAGGAGTGGGGAAAATAATTACGGCCTGGGGTCGGGCGGACTTGGAAGAAATAATGCAGCAGGTGCTGCTACTACTTCATCGTTTACAGCACCAACTGGCGCTTATGAGGGGTCTTACGGAGATCAATTCCGCGGCGGTTCAGTGTACGGTGATCGAGCTTGGCAAGCTGTGTCTTCTCATGCAGATGGTTCTGGTTCATTTGAATATGGTCTTGGAAATCCAGCAGATGTTTCTGCTAAAGATTCTGAGGATTATATTGGAAATTACAGTATTGCAAATAGACAATCGAATAGAGGTAATATTATACTTCGAATCGCCTCTCTTGGTATTAAATTTTAATAATTTATTCCATCATTTCTGAGTTTGATCATCAGCCTATCTTTTGGAGTATGTTGCTTTGGAATTTTAGACATGTCTTGTTATATTTCCAGATATTGGTTATACAGATATGTAACTGCAGTTTGCCCTCAAATATGTGTGTGTGTAACTGGTTAAAAGCAGAAGTGACGCTGAAAGTTACTAAGGTTATAATGTTCAACTTTTAATCTGTTTATTGTTTAAAAAGAAAAGAAAAGAATTATTCTAGTTACATACACGTAGTCTAGGCAACCAGAATATTTGCATGACCAAGATAAGATAAGATAGCAGAACATTGTTGCTATGGTGATGGGTTGTGAAAAAACTGGGAGAACTGCCTAGACCCGCTCATCTAGAGTGGAAAAGGTCATCTTCACCATTCACCAACCCTGAATGTTGTGTGTGTGTATACACCAGGACATGGATGAGGGCGTGATTTACTTTTCACCCTGACTATATTTGTGAATTGCAGGCAGGCCACACGTACACGCACACGCACACAGGTGCGAGTGTGTGCCAACAACAACAACAACAACAACAACGACCCAGTATAATCCCACAAGTGGGGTCTGGGGAGGGTAATATGTACGCAAACCTTACCCCTACCCCGAAGGGTAGAGAGGCTATTTCCAGGAGACCCTCGGCCCAAAAAAGCAACAGGAGACGATATATTAGTACCATAAAAATGCATAATAAAATAACAGCAATATAAGAGATATGAAATACAGAATACGAAATACGAAATAGATGGCTGGTATAGTAAAACTAGCAGGTAAAGCCCTGCATCAATAGACGACCAATGACATTCTTAGTCTAACTCCTAACTGGCTAGTCTCACTCTATTGTGCTGTAGAAATATTCACAAGTTTCCCCTAACCTACAACTTTAATGCTCGACCTCCATAATTCTCTGTCAAGGGCCATGTCCTCAGTAATCCTAAGTCGCGTCATGTCCTGTCTGATCACCTCTCCCCAATACTTCTTAGGTCGCCCTCTACCTCTCCGCGTGCCCACTACAGCCAGTCGCTCACACCTCCTCACCGGTGCATCAGTGCTCCTCCTCTGAATGTGCCCGAACCATCTGAGTCTTACTTCCCGCATCTTGTCCTCCATGGGGGCCACACCCACCTTCTCTCGAATATCTTCATTCCTAATCTTATCCATCCTTGTATGCCCGCACATCCACCTCAACATCCTCATCTCTGCTACTTTCATCTTCTGGATGTGTGAGTTCTTTACCGGCCAACATTCAGTTCCATATAACATGGCAGGCCTAACCACTGCTCTATAAAACTTACCTTTTAGTAACGGTGACACTTTCTTGTCACACAAGACTCCCGACGCTAACCTCCACTTCATCCACCCCACCCCTATACGGTGTGTGACATCCTCGTCAATCTCCCTGATCCCCTGCATAACCGATCCAAGGCACACTCACACAAATAATGTATGGTATAACAAAGGAAAGTTATCTAGTGTCTAAATGCTAAATACTTCATGCGGGTGTGGCCTAGTGGTCGATGGAGTGGATTGAGAACCATAAGGTCTCAGGTTCAAATTCCAGCGTGAGGAAAAAAAAACACTTTGGTGATTTCTCCCCATATTTCTAAATCTTGGTGGACAGAGTTATCTAGTCCGATGGGAGGTAGCAGGTATACCGTGGAATTAGTCGAGGTGCGCGCAAGTTGGCCGGACACTATGGTTAAAAAAAAATGCTAAATACTTCATATTTATTTTTGTAATTTATTATTTGGTAGCACAATTGTTTTGATTACAAATAGAATAACACAAACAAGCATGAGATTTAATATGAGATACTCATGTAATTAGGAAAAGAAGTCGGGGCGAGATGGACTATGTCCTTCCTCCCCTTGCCAGACTCCATTGCTTGATATTGGAGTCACAATTAATAGCTGACAGCAAAAGCAGCCTTAAATGGAAAATGTCGAGACAAACCAGTTTTATCTCATAGATACATTGTTCAAGTATACAAATAAAAGGATGTCTTTGTTGAAGTGTGTTACCATCTCATCTAAAAGCTTAAGCTGTTAGAGAGAGCACATTTTTATTTACTTAATTATGTCTTCAACTGTTCAACATGCCCCCTCATGTGCGGGCTTGATTATTGCTGATGAGCCAAGCACGTGGAATTTTTTTTGATATTGGGTGGCGGTGAGATTGGCTGCTTTATCTTATCTCTACTGTTCCTTGAGCCGAGGGTCTATCGGAAACAGCCTCCCTATCTTTATAAGGTAGGGGTAAGGTCTGCGTACACACTACTCTCCCCAGACCCATTTATGGGATAACACTGGGTTTGTTGTTGGTGGGTGAGGTGGTGGCGGCGGTGACACTCGAACCTAGGACCTTTGCCTGGTTTGCTACCATGTTGAAGTGTGTGATCATCTCATCTAAAAGCTTAAGCTGTTAGATTGAGCATTATGTCTTCAACGGTCTTCAATGAAATTTCATTGAAGATATATGATGCTGGGTTGCCTCCATTTCTGTTAAATTTGCGGTTGAATGCCTGAAAGAAATGCATACGTGCGCGTATATTGTTATTATTATTATTATTATTATTATTATTTTGACAAAATATTTGAGAAATTGAAACAGCTCATCTTTTCTTTTTCTACCGTTTTCAGGAATCGCAGCATAGGAGATCTCGTTATTTGGATATCTGAAGATAGATAGGAGAACAGACTTAAGAGAAACAAGTGGACGTCAATGTTTATAGTATCCCTCATAATATATATTTCGGATACAAGAAAACTTATCTATAGAGCTAGCAAGGCGCTTGTGACAGTTTGAAGTTTCAATATACTAAAAGCAATATAGGATCCATTTTCAGCACTTGATCGAGATGTATATCAGATGGCGAGCTATACATTATACCATCTATTGTAGTCGATGTGTTTGTGCACCCACGACAAGACCAGTACCTCTGGTACTATGTTGAGAGTTAGAGTTGTCATTTTTTATATTCTTTTTTCTCTGTGTAACTTTTTGTTTACTGTAATGAACTGGCAAAGTTGCCGGCGTTTGTTTTATAGTTCCCTTCTTTTTTCTTTCTGGGATTTGCATTTCTTTCAGATTGTATGTGAGATCATGTTTGATTTACTAGTGTGAAACATTTGGGGATACTAACCTAGTATCCCTATCAATAAGTACTGAATATTTTGATTCATTTGACACTGCACATTTTGTAAACAATATAGTTGAAACTTTATGTTTGTGTATGGAACTATGTTGCATATTAGATTGATTTTCCCCTTCTATTTGAAGTCTGTTTTGACTGGTATGGTTCTTTTATTTGTAGGTTTCTGTGCTTTTGCCAAGCAATTTGGTTGAACTTAACAGAGTTTTTAGTCAATATTATCCTTTTATCTTTGGGGGTAAGTTTAACTTTATCCTTTAAATATAACCTTGAGCTTAGGGTTATATTTACAAATTTAGAGGACAAATAGTGCTTAGGGTTATATTTAGAGGACAAAATTAAGCGTATCCCTTAACATAAGGGATAATTTTGGCTAAAAGTTCGAACTTAACACATTGTTTTATCAACTATTCCCTATGTCCCAATTTATGCGGCGGAGCTCGGATTTTGAGTGTCGAACTTCTTAGTTTTGACCATGAAGTCGGACATAGAATTTTTAAATTTTTTGAAACAAAATTTATATATTTGGAAACTACGTAAATAGTACTATAAGCCACAATAATTAACAATTTAAAATATCCAAGAGGGGCAGCCCGATATACTAAACTCCCGCTATGCAGAGGCGGAGCTATGATTTCAAGCTTATGGATTCAGGATTCTAATTGTTAAAAGTTACTGAGTTCTAAATTAATAATTTATACATATTTAATGAATTTTATAAGACAAATACTGAGTTCAAATTATCACGACTTGTTGTGATTGAGTCATAGTTATTGTTCTTGATTTATTACTTTAGTTAATATATTAATAATATGAGACATTGAAGGGAGAGATAACATATAACTTAGACAAATTATGATTCGCTATTAAATATTTTTCTTATGGGATATACAGGAACTCTAAAGGACTTATAATATGAACAACGAGAGAGTATTAATTAGAGTTCATCGAGAGTGGAGGGGCGAAATGTACGGATAGCTGATTTTGCGATCACCATACGGATTTGAAGTCGCAAGAAATTTGTCTGAAATTGAGAGATTACATACATGAGTACATATACTTGTACCAAATTGGAGGGGCATTTGTATCTATACCCGCTTTTTGGGTTACGTTTTGACTTGTGTCTGTTTTATAAAAAAAATTCTAAACGTACCCACTTTTTCGCGTAACTTCAGCATACGGGGCTGAAGTAGCCAGTGGCGGACCCAGGATTTTGTGCAAGCGGGTTCAGTCAGAGAAGTCCATAACTAACATAAGCTATATAAGCGGGTTCAAAAATAATTTCTATACAAAATTTACCTTGTTTTAGCTAAATTTATACATATACACAGTATTTTTTTTGACGAAGCGGGTTCAGTTGAACCCACTTCTCACCACTTGGGTCCGCCCCTGGAAGTAGCAAAGGCAATCATGCAAAACTTCAGCATTCTAGTAGACGAGACTGAAGTAGCAAGTGTGCTGGAGTTTTTGTTTGTAATTGGTGAACTTAAGCATAGTAGCTGAAGTTTTGTTCTCTATTTGCTGAAGTTTTTGTTTGTAATTGCTAAAGTTTTTATTTTTGTAACTGGCGAACTTCAGCTTTAGAGCTGAAGTTTTTGTTTATAACTGGCGAACTTCAGCTCTAGAGCTTAAGTTTTTGTTTGTAATTAGCGAACTTCAGCCTTCTTAGAGTTGAAGTTTTAACTGACTTTCCATATGATTCGAACGTTGATAGTATTAGATGGAAATACAGGTGCTCACTAACTTATGTAATCCTCTTGGTCAGATTCCTCCAATTTGGTATACTTCTTAAATACCAAATTGATGAACTAAAATGTTTCCATCTTCTCAGCCCATGTCAATTACTGGAACATTTTCACAATTAGAGACTTCAGAAAGGAGTGGCCTATTGGATTGAGAGTGGATATAACTTTGAGGAGGAGAAGGAGGAGGAGAAAGGGGGCTGAAGTTATTTAAAAAATGGATACAAGTTAAAAAAAATTTAGAAAAATGAATATAAGTTAAATGGGGGCGACCAAATATGGCGTCCGTGCAATTTTTACCAAATTGGAACAAATAAAATATGGGGGACCGGATTGAGTTAGACGCCCAAAAACAAGGACTAATACGTAAAGGGAGGACAAAACTGGTATTTAATCACAGCTAGGGTTTTAAAGTGGTTTAAAAGGCCAGCCGATCTCTTTTTTGCTGAGCCCTCCGTATTAGAGCATAACCGTCGGAACCCTAGGATCCTTCGTCGCCGGCAACAATGGGTAACGAAATTATTAAACTTCTCAGCTTTCATATTATCGTCCTTAATCTCGTATGTTTGTATCCTGGTCTAATGAAATTGTGAAAATAAGCTTAATAAGAGTAATGAATGTGCTTATGGTATGTGATAGGTATCTCTCGGGATTCGATGCACAAGAGACGTGCCACTGGAGGCAAGAAGAAGGCGTGGAGGAAGAAGAGAAAGTAAGTTAAATTACTTTTTTATCTCAATATGTTCACTACTTTGGACCTGAATGGATATAGAGGATTCACATAGTCGATCAGAACTAAATTTGGACTGTGCATAATTGATTTATTAAGTGTCACACTATTTTGGACCTAGAATAGAATGGAATGGATACAAAGGATTGACATGGTCTACTAAATAGGTATTTCTTCCTATCTGTCTAGGCTTTGGTCGGTAGAGTTACCCCGTGCCTGTGTTGGTGGGAGGTAGCTGGTATATGGTAAAACTTACTCGGTATGAGTAATGTTGATTTATTGAATATCCAACTATTTTGACCTGAATATAGTGGAATAGAGTTACCCAGTACCCGTGTTGGTGGGAGGTAGCTGTTATCTGGTAAAACTTACTCGGTATGAGTAATGTTGATTTATTGGATATCCAACTATTTTGACCTGAATATAGTGGTATGGGTAGATAAGATTCGTATAGTTGACCAAGACTAATTTGGGATTGAGTGTAGTTAATTTATTGGATGATCTATGATTTTGGACCTGACTATATTGGAAATGGATGCTAGATGATGATTCATATAGTCGACCAAAATTAATTTGTGAGTGAGTGTAGTTGTTTTATTGAATGTCCTACTACTTATGTCCTGGCTTGTAAATAAGGTTTTTGTTCCACCTTGAAATCTCTATGTATCGTTCTTGATTATTATAGGCAAATGCAGTTAGGAAACACTAAAAGACCCATGGCTTTCACTAGAAGTGTTTTTTCTCTTTCTTGAGCGCCTCTAGTTCTAAAGAATTGCTAATTTGCCCTGTAACATATATGTTGATTCCTTGATGGAATGGATATAGATGATTCATATAACGGACTTCTTTAGTTTGACATTGAGGTAGAGTTCGTTGATTAATAGATAGAGAGAGAGATAAGGGGAGTGGGGTTTGGGGCTCTGAAGCTGGTTCTTCTGTTTTTTTGACAACAATGTTACTTGCATCTATTATATGGATTTACGCTAATGAAGTTATACAAAGCTAGAAATGCAGTGGATTTTGCTGGATAGTTTTTTTTTTCCTCTTTCTTGAGAACCTCTAGTTTTAAAGAATTGCCATTTGGCTTATAAGACAAATGTTGATGGAATGGATATTGGTAATACATGTAGCTGACTCTATTTAGTCTGAGGTTTTGGCTGTGTTGAATTTTGGGGGTAGGGTGCAGATGTGAAGCTGGGCCTTTTATGAAGGAAGATATGTAGATTCCTTAGTGGTTGTTTAATTACCGGGATAAATCCCGGTATAAAATTGGAGATTATATTTATCCCATATTTGGTTGTGGGTATTAACTAATAGATAAATTTATGCCAATTTTTTTGTATTAGCTATTCCATATAGGATTGTAATCCCGGGATTACAATGTATATCCCTCCTCTGAACCAAACGACCCCTTAGAGTCTAGTGATTGGTGGCTTTTGTTGCATAATTGCAATGAGTTAGTCTCCTAGAGTCTCTCTTTTGGCTAGATCTTCTCAAACTCTTCTTTAAATTATTCTGTGAGGTGAATTTTTGTAATATTGGGCTGTCCATAGATATGATTTTAGTTGAGTGTTTATTGGTCATGTTATGAGATTGACTTTGATTGTATGTCTCTGTGAAGGTATGAGCTTGGAAGACAGCCTGCAAATACAAAGCTGGTGACTAATGCTAAGACTGTTAGGAGGATAAGGGTCCGAGGAGGCAATGTGAAGTGGCGTGCTTTGAGGTTGGACACTGGAAACTTCTCTTGGGGCAGTGAGGCTGTTACTAGGAAGACTCGTTTATTGGATGTGGTGTACAATGCCTCAAACAATGAGCTGGTTAGGACACAAACTCTAGTGAAGAGTGCAATTGTTCAAGTTGATGCAGCTCCATTTAAGCAGTGGTATCTCCAGCACTATGGAGTTGATATTGGTCGCAAGAAGAAGAGTGCTGCCAAGAAGGAAGGAGAGGTATTTGCATGAATGCTTTCCTCGTCTTACGTGGTCTCCTTTATTCATGGTGCTCCACTTTGGTTGATATGATAATCAATTTTATGGTGCTATATATTAACTTGAAGTGCATTATTGAACACTTAATTGTAAGATGTTCTGCTTGAGCCTCTGTTATCTTTTAACTGCTGTATGTGGTGGCTCTGATGCATGGAAACAGATAATTGTTTGTATTAAGGTCTTAAAGAAAATTCCTTAAACTTCTTCCTCCTCTTTTGTGAAGAAAAGATTGTATTTTCTTGATTATAAGATTCCTTATAATTGTGTGTATTTTTTCCCTTCATCAATAGGAAAGGGTTGTATTTTCCAAATGTCTTTTCTGGTGGATTTTGTCCTAGTATGTGTTTAGTTGTTCTACTAATTTGGTTGCCACCAGAAAATTGCTCTCAACTAGTGCATTATATGATGGTTTTTATTCATTGGTTCACAGGAGGCTGAGACTGCTCCTGCTGCAGAGGAAAAAAAAAGTAACCATGTCCAGAGAAAGCTGCAAAAGCGTCAACAAGATCGTAAGATTGACCCACATGTTGAAGAGCAATTTGCTAGTGGCCGTCTATTGGCTGCAATCTCGTCACGACCTGGCCAATGTGGCCGTGCCGATGGGTATGAGTTGTCTTCTCTATTAGCTTTGATCTTTTG